CGACAATTAGACATCGGGCGCGATCGTGTTCGACTCGACAATCAGACATCGGGCGCGATCGTGTTCGACTCGACAATCAGACATCGGGCGCGATCATGTTCGACTCGATTGTCGGGCACCGTCGTGTTCGACTCAACGATTGGGCACGATCGTGTTCGACACGACGATCGGACACGATCGTGTTGGACTCGACGATCGGGCGCGATCGTGTTCGACTCGACGATGGGGCACCATCGTGTTCGACTCGACGACCGGAAGTGCCACGTGGCGTTACGTGGTTGAAACTGGGCAACGTGATTGTGTCCTCACCGTCCCATCCTTCAAACTCGGGGTGCTGCGTTGTGGTTGTGCGTCACGATCTTGGGCTGTATGCTCGCTACGTCGTCGCGCTGAACACGCCTCTCGACAGCGCTGTGGTCCGCCGTCGCGTCGAGCAGGTGGTCGGCTATGCACGAACCGAATCCCTGCGCTCCGTTGCCGCACTGTACACGAGCCTCCACTGCGCTGCGATGTGGCACGAGCCTCCGCTGCTCTGCGTCGACGAACCTCCGCTGCGCTGCTCTGCTACTACGTTGCCGAACTGAAACAAAAATGGGAATTGGTGACCCTCCCTCATATATATAGTTTTTCGGGAGGGCCCTTCGCGAGCACCTGCTGGCCGTCCGATCCGGGGATAATGACGGTTGGGATGTTTCGATGGGGAGTGTTGGGCCTGCCTCATATAAGTGGTTTTCCGGTCGGGCCCTCCGCGCGCGCCTGATGGCCGTCCGATCCGGGAGTACGGACGGTCCGATCCGGGAATACGGACGGTCAGGACGATCCAATGACTGCAGTCGGCCTCGATCGTTTCCCCCCCTTGGCCAGAGCGGAGGCGCATGGATGACATTCAGTTGCAGAGCATAAATGCGATTCGCGCACGTGAGTACCCGCGACATTGTATCATCGTTCACGTTCTGGGAGAATCAGGGCACCCCGTCCGCCAACGTCGACACGACAACTGCCCCGCTCTACAGGTTAGTGCCGCTTAGGCCAATATGGCCCCCCGTCCCCCCCCGCCCCGAGAGAAAGAGAAAAGCCTCCGTGTCCAGTGCCGGTTTATCGGTGACGTCAACAAGTTTTCTCGAACACTTTCACCACAGTCGTCGTCGTGTCGAACACGATGGTCGACACCGTCATCGTCGTGTTGAACACGATCCTTGTCGTGTCCGACACACTGGTCGTCGTGTTGAACACGATCGTTGTCGTGTCGAACACGCTGGTCGTCGTGTCAAACACGATCGTTGTCGTGTCCGACACGCTGGTCGTCGTGTCAAACACGATGGTCGTCGTGTTTGACACGATCGTTGTCGTGTCCGACACGCTGGTCGTCGTGTCAAACACGATGGTCGTCGTGTTGAACACGATCGTTGTTGTGTCGAACACTTTGGGCGTCGTGTCAAACACGATCATCGCCGTGTCGAACATGATGGTCGTCGTGTCGAAAACGATCCTCGTCGTGTCGAACACGATTGTCGTAGGGTCGAACACAATCGCCATTGTGTCGAACACGGCTGTCGTCGTGTCGAACACGCTCGTCGTAGTGTCCGGCTCGTTGTCGTGCACGGCCGTCGACGTGACCAACGTCGTGTCGAACACGGCCGTCGTCATGTCGAACATGACCGCCATAGTATCGAGCATGACCGTCTTCGTGTCCGACACGATCGTCAACGATGGTCGTCGTGTCCGGCACGATGGTCGTCGGGTCTGACACAGTGGCCGTCATGACAAGCACGGTGGTCGTCGTGTCCGCCACGGTCAAACGTGGTCTTGGTTGTGTCGAACGCCGTCACGGTCGTGTCAAACACCCTGCTCTTTTTCGCCACGACCCCCACCTATGTTTCGACTTGCACAAAGTTTAGTGTGAGTTGCGCCAGCAGGACATAGTGCCCGGGTGACTGCCTTTTGTCTCTTGTAGCACTGACTGCTTGTTGCGAGATTGCGCCACACCCCCACCTTGTAATATACAATGGAGCTCTTGTCGTGTTGGGCGCGACATTGGCGTTGCCGCAGTCGTTTGCCTTCTCAGCCTGGCTATCTGGAAACCCGTCGCGCGCTGTAGAACGAACTCTGCACGAATTTTGCTTCGAATCCTCGGAGTCTGGTGCCCGGGAATCAAGACGGGGGACCCTTCCGTGTTGGGCGAGGTGGTCGTGTTGCCACGATGGTTTTCCTGCTCACTCGTGGCAGTTTTTCTGCCCGCTCTGCGTGGGTGGTGGGTACCACGCGTGCCGGGAGTCAAGACGAGGGACCCTACCGTGTTGGGCGAGGCGGTCTCTTTGCCACGATGGTGCGGTCACGTTGCCACGATGGTATTCCTGCTCACTCGTGACAGTTTTCTTGCCCGCTCTGCGTGGGTGGTGATTACCACACTTACCACGCGTGTCCAGTCGCTGTAGTTCCTGCAGTGATATAAAATCTTTCCAATCAATGCCCTCGTGCCAAGCTGTGTGCTGCGCTCCAGATTCTTCGCCGTTCCGCTGTTGGTGCCCGCTGAGTTTTGCGCGCCGTGGTCTATGCCTTTCCGAAGTTGGTGCCCGACGTGACATGTGTTGCGTTTCCTGTTGCGCGTCAAGATCTCCGCCTTTTCAACGCTGTTGCACGCTGTGTTTCCGGTTGTTGGTGCCCCGGCTCGATATGTGCTACTCTTCCCACTGTCGATCGATCTCCAACTTGGACAAACTCTTTCGCGTGTATTTCGCCTTTGGCACGGATTGGGCCTGATGACAGGATTGCTGCCCAGATTCCACGGTCGTGTGTTTTCCTTTTTCGGATGTTTCCTGTTCCCCTCCGTCCAGTGTAGGGCTGTGTTTCTCAGGGTTATTTGTAGGGTTGTGTTTCTCGTTGTTGTGTAGGGATGGTTGTCTGCTCCATTTCATTGACCTCTGCTCCATTTCATTGACAGTGGTCCGCTGTTTTGTTGTCGCAGACACGTCTCGTGCATGGCTTGTGGTGTGCATGCTATGCCACGGCAGACTTGCAGCACAACCTTGGAAAGCATGGACTGTGTGGCGTCTAATACAATGCTCAATGAGGATTTTCCTCCACCGCACCTGCCAATGTGTTCACAAGATGTTCGAAGTGGTCTCGAACATGTCGATAATGCTCCGGAATCTCCTGGTCGTAAGAGGTCACGAAATATTGCGTGTGCGGACACTACATGTGAAAGTGCATATCCCGTCCTTCGATGCCCGGTTCGAACGTGTGATGCAGAGAGTGCTGAAGGTCAGGAGGGTAAGGTCTCCTCTACTGACAACGACGCATCCGATGTAGATCGTGTTGTATGGGTGCCGAGGAGTTCACTTCGAGATTTCGAGTACACAGGTCTTCTGTTTGGTGAGGGTGATAAAGGTGGTTCAGATTCAAGTGCTTCGGTGTCGTCTAGTGCTGATAGTTCTCCAGATAAAACCGATCTTCCGCACACGTACGCTGACCGGAACAGTGACCACTTTCGTCGCAATGACGATGAAAATTATGACGTGATCTCTGATTTCGATGACATTTTTCCAAAACATCTGTCCTCAGAGAAGCGTCCTTATACTTTTCGTCTCAGAATGTCGCGGTCAAAGAAGATTCTGCAATCAGTTCATAGAAAACTCACCAAAAAAGCACTGGCGAGCATGCGTGGGCAGGTTTGATGTAAGCGAGAGTGTTGCGCTCAAATGACCCTGGACGACATCAAAGCTGTCTGGAGCGCATACTACTCTAAGAACCAGCAGAGCAGGAATGCGTCGCGGGTTGAAACGTTGAAGAGGTTCACCTTCATAGAAGATAAAAAGAAGATTGTTCAACTTATTGTGGAGAGACGAAAGGTGTGCATTAGTGCTTGGTGTTTCACACTGGGTGTATGTAGAAATACGTTTCTCAAAAAGAGGATGACTTTGTCAAAAGACTACAATATGCCGGAGCATGGCAGTACTGGACTCAGATGCACATCAGCAACATATACGACGATGTACGGGAAACTAAGCTCCTTCGTGCGAGACAACGGAGATTCTATGCCCAATGACATGAAGACCAAAGAGGGGGAATCAAGAGTGGTGTTGAGATTGCCTGCTTGCTATAACAAGGTTGATATTTATAAGTTGCTAAAGTTGCAATTCGACAACATGGGTGCTCCTTGTGTTTCTCTCCAAGTTTTTTACAATATGTGGAGAACGCAGTTCTGACATATGAAATTCCATGACATTGATCAAAACTTTGCGAAATGCGAGAAATGTGTTGAATACAAAGAATCTATCAATTCCGCAAAGTTCGTGCGTGTGCGTGAGTACTTTGTTTCGTTACGTGAGAAACACTTGGACTTGCAGCTCCAACATCGTGCTGCGTATGAGGTGTGGAAGGATGAGTCGAAGAGACCGGGTTCCAACAGTTTGTGCATCATCATTGACGACATGGACCAAAGCAAGACCAGCATTCCACACTTTGGTGGAGAGAACAAATCGAAGGCATTCGCAAATATTCCGATGTTCAAAACGAATCTAACAGCTATTATTGCACACGGCCGCTCACCATCGGTCCATGTTCACACATGGTACCCTTGCTATCCATATGATTTTAATGCTGTAGTGTCATCCATTATGAAAGTTCTCCGCGACATCCAGGCGACGAGCGACTTGCCTCCTAAACTGAGGATACAAGCTGACAAATGTCAGACAACTGTCAGAGAGAAAATAAAAACAAATACGTTTTGGCACTCGCTGCAGCTTTGGTGAAATTTGGCTTCTTCAAAGAAGTCGAATTCGGTTTTATGTTCGTGGGACACACACATACGGACGTTGATGTCACTTTCAGTCATTTCTCTCGCAAACTGAAAATGCACGATGCGTATACCATGCTCGACCTCTTCAAGCTCGTTGCCAGTTCTAAAAAAGAACGTCCATCGTGCACATTCATGGATGAAATTGCTGATTGGTGAGCTGCTGTTAAACCCTTCCTGGTCAAGAGACTGACCGGTCATACTCGTCCACATGCATTTAGGTTTATAAGCAGGATGACAATCCTCTGTTTCAGTGGAAAGAGTATTGCACTTCTCTTGAATGGTCTGCTCCAGTATATTGCTTTAAACGAGATGAAAACAAAGCATATGGTGGACACGAATGACCATTCGTGCCATCACCTGTTCCGCCGTCAGCTTCTCTGCCTACTAAAGATAGAAATTCGGATTTCGAATCGGGAATTGAGGGTGTGAAGACGTTTGTTGGGTGGTTGGAGAACAAGCGGCACGAGTGGTTGGGAATGAAAGATGAGGCTAACTTTTCAAAGGAGAGTGCTCTTTCACACTGGAAAACTTTCCTCGAGACAGTCGAGGAGCATTACGGGTCTGGGTTTGCGAAAACTTCACTCAAGGCTGGCTTCTGACCCTCACAAGACAAAATTAAGAAGGATGATCCAGATGATATTGATATTGCCTTCCTCTTGAAGAGCAATGAGAATAAGGAGTCGTTGTTCGTTGGACCGGCCAATGAGCGTCCAAAGGCGGAGCTCAACCCAGTTGTGGATGTCGAAAAAGGTCAATTCGTTCTTTTGCGTCCTTCCCAAGATGATATCGATGAGGGAGTTCCTGTATGGATGGGTAGAGTCATTTCCGATGTAGACAACGATATGAAGTCGTCAACTTTCAATCATATTCTTATTGAATATTGGGTGCCACAACCTATTGCTAAACGTCTTTCTGTGGAATATTCGAACGCATGGAAGAAGACGTGGAAGAAAGACAACACGACATCATAGCTGTGGCAGCATGTAGACTGTGTTGTGTGGAGCTGAACATCAAAGATATTTCATTTAGAAAATGGAGTGCACATTCCAAAATCGGCCAGAGAGAAGGCCTTGGTATGCCTTTCACTTCCCATAATGAAGATCAGTAGGTTTTCAATAGATTTTGAAGAAGAGCTAATCGTATATCTTTACACGTATTAGTACGTTATTTAATTGTTATTGAGCTTTCATTTATATATATTTAAACTGTGTATTTTCATGTGTTGCAGAATGGTTCAACCATTTGTGACGACTGGATGACCGCCAAGTAACATGGTGTGGGGAAGAAATATATGGCATGATATGAGTCTAGTTTTCTTCACATCTGAAGTGATCTTTGACAGTGCAGTACTCAGTGTTAGAGGTGTGGATGCCCTAACGGAAGACTGGGAACATTCTCCTCGAGAGTCACTGTATATTTGTGGTCGGAGGTGTTGTGAAACGAGAACATACCTGCGAGAAGTGATCGCACCCTTTTCGGAATTGTATTATTCAGCAGTCAAATTCTGCCACAACAATTTCAATGTGATGACCTTGTTTTGTGCAACGGCAACTGTTCGAGGTCGGTGCAAAATATCTTTCCTTATTTATAATGACTATTCTGCAAGTGCAAGTGTTTCCAATGCAGACAACATCGATGAACGACGACGGGAAGAATTCCGAAGGAGGATCATGGAGCAACCATCACTCAAAACACTCATGGATGGGTTTGTGGACACGACCATCAAATATTTGCGAAGTCTCCTGCTGCGCGAATATGAAGTAATAGAAAGTTATATAGAGTAGAAGGACCCGACGTTTGACGGACAAACTGATACCATCGTTGTAGAAGATTAGACAACTTATACAAGGACAGACTGAAATATTGTCTTGATCGCATTAGTTTATCCCTGTGGTCGATCTAGTTACTAGGCTTGTTTTGCCTATTTTTGAAGTGTCATTTGTGCTTTGTATTTGATTTTTTTTTCCCTCTTACTCGGTCAATGGCCTTG